AAAAGCCAAATGTGTTAATTAACAAAATACAGAAACTGTTTTCAATATATGATAATCATTGTATGAGATAGGGTAATCTGTGAAGCTTACTTATAAATAGGCTACTTAATTTTTTAAAAATACATTTATTTACTTACTTAAAATACCCAAACTCCAGCAGTAATGTGTAATATTAGCACTAGAATGAATGTTTTTGGAGTACATATAAGTGCTAAATTTTAAACACTCAACACGTGAAGTTTGACTTTTAGAAACTAAAAAATACAAATGTCATCATACATCCATCAGAAACCTTGTTCTAAGTTTGAAAGACTGCAGAACCTGAAGATAGAGGCATAAGAACTTTAAAAATATTTGTTCTAGTGCTAATATTACATATTACTGGTGGAGTTTGGGTTTTTAAGTAAATTGATTGTTTCTCTAGTTAAATAGCAGTTATTTGTAATTCATTTATATGTGACTAGCAGACCCTGCCACGCGTTGTTGTGGCTCAAAATGTATCTATTATAAATGTACAGTAATACCCCAAACTTATGCAATAGGTGGGACCGAGCGATAACCACGTAAGTCAGGGTATAATTTCATGTAAGTCAGGGTAAAATCCAAGTCGGATATATGTAAGACAATACATGTTCTTGTTAATCTTATCTCGTCTTTTGATTCATTCACGGTTACAAGAAATCACCACATAAAGTCTCTCAAGTCTCCATAGATATAACAAACACTGAAATAAATAACACAAAATAAATTGTAGCTATGCGTTGATTCCGCGTGACACGTCCAAACATGTAAGCTGAACAATAGTGTGGGGGAAGTGAGTAATCAAGAGTTGAGTGGAACTCAAACAAAAGACGAATCGACGAGATTTGAAAATCGCGTAACTCTGGGTTCGCGTAAGTCGAGGTATTACTATATAACACTTCCCCCGTGGGGGGAATTTTTCAAAAAATTCCTTCTTAGTGTACATTCTCTTGACGTACCCTATTAAAACACAATAAAAACCGCATCTAAAGTAGTATAAATAGAAGCAGAGTTCTTTACAGTAAGCCATAATCCTGTCCATCTTCCCCCAGTGGGGGGAATTTCGACACGTATATTATATAAAAACATGTGCATATTCGAATGCAGCATTGTGTCAAAATTTCAAAGGAATCAGTAGCAACAAATGAACATTACATTTTTATTTAAATAGATAGATAGAAGATGATCCGCTTTAGTTCATTTTCAAAGAAAAGCAAACTGTGAGGATGAACTAAAGCGGATCATTCACCCCTGCGAATATCATCCCTCAGATATTTGCAGGGGTGAATGAAAATGATTGCCACGAAAGAAAGGAGGGGACGAGTACGATATAGTATTAAACAAATTTTATGTACCAAAAATATATTTATATCAGATCACAATACGAGAGGTCAGCTTAGGCCTGGCACGTGGCAGCTTACACAGAGTCTACACAAGACAAATCGAAGGACACACCTTCACACCTGAACGCCAGGAACCAGAATGCCTGGTTTCCGGTTCCCCACTATACATAACATCACCACCAACACCATGCTGCCACACAAAAACCACCCAAAACACAAATAAAACTGCGCATACAGCAATCACGACAATTGTTTACATTAATTACATTGGCAAAATATGTATATATACACAAAGATAATTATAAGCAAAAGAAAACAAAAAAAAAATTTTTTACGGCAGAGACCGACAATATACACGAGGATGGCACAAAACTTAGATCGTCATACTCATAGCACCATCTGTTGGACATAAAAGCCTTAACCCTAGATGATATCTTTTTAATTTATATGAATGTTTAACGGAATAATATACAGCTTATGTCCACCCTGAAGTTCCATTCTAAATATTGGTGAAAGAATTTTTGAAATCAGATGAGTAGTTTCAGAGATTACCCCTACATACAAACTTACAAACATTACCTCTTTATAATATTAGTATAGATTATTAAATTTATCAAAACTAGTGGCATAATTGCCTACCACTAGTTAAATTGCTTTATATCTAATTAATAAATTAGCCTTAATACAGCCTGATAAATAATCCAGTGGGTCATTTGGCAAAAGGTTTGTTCTATAATTTTGATTTTGTAAACCTGAATTCTATATTATACATTCCAAATGCAGTGTTCTTCTTTTTATTTTGAGTTTGCTTGAGGATGGTAGTTTAAAATGACTAAAAATATTAATGTTTGCCATTAAAGTCTCTTTTTCTGAAAGGTTAAGATATAATGATCTTAAAGCCAAACCATTGCTGGATTATATTGGCCTACATTACTACTACTATTGATAATTAAATGCTAAGTAATTTGGCACTAGAGGTAGGCATTTGGTGCCATCTCTTCTTGCTAAATTTAATAATTATAATTAATATTTTAATAATTAATTTAAGAGGTTTGGAAAGAAATGAATTTGCTTGAAGTGGGACTCAAACCCACAGCTCCCACTTACTGTGTGGTTGCTTTACCAGTTAGGCTACCCAGACATTTGTCCAATCTTCACTTCCAGAATTAACTGAGTATGTTTATATCAAAATTAATGGTTCTGGAAGTGAACATTGAACAATGGTTCAGGTAGTGTAACTAACAACATAACTGCACAGTAAGTGGGAGTTGCAGGTTCAAGTCCCACTTTGGGTTAATTCTTTTCTTCCAGAACCTTATAAATTAATTATTACATTATTAATTGATTGTTTCCATTATTAGTTTATGTGGATTTTTTAAAAACCTAAAATTTTTTACTGTTTTTTCGGTAACATACACCACACAAGCAACACTTATTGATAAAGGCTTTATTATAGTATGTGGATATGCATTTTGGGTCCTTAATGACCCCTCTTCAGTCCTTATTTTTTGTACAGATCTTATCAAAAGAAATAAAAGTTATAAATTACATCACACATATATTTCTTTTGATAAGATCTGTACAAAAAATAAGGACTGAAGAGGGTCATTAAGGACCCAAAATGCATATCCAATACTATAATAAAGCCTATATCAATAAGAGTTGCTTGTGTGGTGTATGTTACCGAAAAAATAGCCAAAAAGTTTAGGTTTTTAAAAAATATAATTATTAAATATAGCAAGAGATGGTGGCTAATACCTACCTCTAATGCCAATTTACTTAGCATTTAATTACTAATAATAGTAGTAATATATATAGCCTGATATAGTCTGGCAGTCATTTGGCTTTAATACATAACTATCTAATTTTAGATGTTGATATGTCATTCTATCTTTTGCATAGTAAACCAGTTTACTACTCAGTCGTGGATTTTCAGCAGGAATTGTTGAATATTGGCATGTTCCTTCCAGTTTAAGCCACTTAGCTTGTGCAAGTTGGAAGGAAAATCTCTGCAGTTTGCAGTGAACACAGACTGTATTCTTGCTGACTGAGAAAGTGTCACTTAAGCATTCACCAAAGATACTTCATATTTTGCTGCATGGGTGCCAATGTGTGCACAGAAACCACCCATAACACTTGATCCAGCTTGTGTTCAACAAACAGTTCAAGACACTGCAGATTTCTAGTGGTCTAGGATATTTTGTTGGTGTGGTTTGGATCAACTATCATTGTCAAGCAGACCCTGAAGTCATAAAACTATATTAAAAATGATAATGACCCACATACTTCCCATATCATTTTTACCCTGATGGCTCAGCAGTGTTTTAAGACAGTAATGATTGTGTTCATATTGTAATGAACTGGTTTCTACAGAGCCCATCATTAATCTAATTCCATGATTCCCAATTAGTGGTATGTTTACCCCCAGGGGTATGCAAAATTGTATGAAGGGGTACGCACAGCAATCTAAAATCGGTCGATTTAAAATTTAAATGCATGAGATGAAGCAATCAAAAAAATAATGGGTGGACCATCAAAAATTCGACAATTTACAACATGATGTGGAATGCACAAATTCGTTTATTTATAACTAAAAATATTCTCGAAATTTCATAAAAAAATGCATTTGTGACAATACCTAAATGAAATTCTTACGCAAGAAACAAAAATTGTACAATTAACACATTTTGTGTTAATTGTACAATTATCATCATCATCGTGTCAGTGAAGCAGCAATAATATATTTCCTATCATTTTGCACAACATACCTCTGCGAGAGCGGATTTTTGGCCATGACAAACATGAAAACTAAACATCGTCACCGACTTCAATTCGAAGATGACTCGAGACTGAAGCTGACCAAAAAGCAACCAGATTTTACAAAGTTGTACAAAGAAAATCGTGCACATTTGTCGCATTAAAATTAAATAACCTTATCTTATTTTCATTATTATTAGAATTGTATTTTAAAGGTAATAAATGAAAAAAAACTTATTCTATTTATCACTAGCTGTCTACTCACAGCTTCGCCCTCATTATATTGAATTTTCTTGTGGGAGTAAGATATTTTCTCACAGTAAAATGTAGCCTATGTCCATCTCCAACGTGTAAGCTATCTCTGAGCCAAATTTTAAAACCTGTTCAGTGGTTTAGACGTAAAAAGGTGACAGACAGACAGACAGAATTACCTTCAAATTTATAATAATAGTATGGATTTCTGATATAAGAGGTATGTGAGTTTGAGCTCTTTCTTGAAGTGGTACACAGGAAAAACTAATTGGGAACCAATGATCTAATTGATTATCTTTAGGATATACTGGAATGTCTAAATTAGACATAATGATGTATCATTGAAGGCCAAATTCAATGATACATCATAACACTTTTGATATAATTTTTGTTCCACAACATTGGCTGTTGTGGAACAAAAATTATATCAAAAGTGTTAGAAAGTAATGAAACATTGGTTTAGAAACTTGTTGAGTCTATGCCTCAGTGGATAAGAGCTATGGTCATACCAGAGGTGGTCCAATCATTTAGTGTAAAGCCTGTTTATTTTTGTCATGGCACTGTATTTAAATTTTTGTAAATTAACTTGTATAGATTATAATAAATATAAAATTTTATAATTAATAGAACATCAAGAAAGAAGCCATCAGAGCAAAGAAAACAAGAACATCAAAGTTTAAAAAGTAAACATAAAGCAACATTAAAAGAAAGAATTCCAAAAAAGTCAGCTAAAAACTCTTCAGTTAAAGGAAAAAACATAGGAAATTCTCCAAATGACTCAGAATCACAAAATGTTAAATTAACTAAAATTTCTAAGAAAAAAGAGTATACCAGTTCTTCAAAATATAATGGATATTGTTCAACTTCATCATCATCATCTACATTGTCCTCTGAAAGTAATCTTTCACAGTCTTCAGTAGTTAGACATCATTCTTCCTCTTCAGAATCAGATTCTTCCCATCAAAAGATAAAGTATTAAAATAATTTTAAATATTATAATTAATGCTAGTTATAATGAGCCAGTATATTATCATATTAATTTAAATATATATATAGTTTAGCTTATTTCTTTTAAACATAATTATAATACTATGATTGTGCTACAATACATGTAATTAATGAGTTTTTAAACATTATATCTACCATAATTTCATGACAATAATCTGCAAGACAAATATCCTGCAGAAAACTGAAAGAATGAAAATAAAATTTTTGTATATTGTGTACCTCAGTGGCAGCCATTGAAATCAAAATAGTTGAAGTTTGCTGGTTAAAAGTTGCCATCTCAAGCATTAAAATATTGTTTTTTCTGTTTTATTTCTGTTAATAAATCATTGTACATTAAACAACTAAGCCCAAATATTCTATAATAATCATATTAATTTCTGGGTTATTTGGATTATAGTTTGACTATCTATTGTAAAGTACTAATTATTAATTGGATGTGTTAGATCATGGCTTCTTAAACTATGGGTCATGACCCCGTTTGGGGTCGCTTAGCGAAATCTTGGGGTCGCGAGAATTTAATGCAAAATATTGAAAATAATTTGTGAGCGTTTGAAAATGGCACGCTTTGTGTCATAGGTTTCGTGAGTTGCACTTTGTGTCACTTCTGGTGCAGCGAGACAACAATTCAGCAACACTGTAGTGTGAACTAGTGTAGTATTAAATTAATTAAAATATCTATAACCATAAGGCAGATAATAGGAAGGGCTTATCACACCAATGATAATGGGCACAAATGCTCAAGAATCAAAGTAAAAATTTTAATAAAACAAAAAGGGGTGTACAATAAGATGATTATACAAGTATAAAAACCGTAAAAATCCAAAATGCATTTCGGACTATTTTCCAATGGAAAAATAGTCCCTCATCAGTTGATAATAGCAAGAGGTCTTAGTATGCTTAAAATTATACAAGGTGAAAAAATATATCAAATTTAAAATTAAACTTAAAATTATGCCTAAAACTATACAATATAAAGATGAAACCATCACCATGACTGTATGAGCAGTAAGCATTATCAATGTAGACAGGATTAACATTTCTTCCTAACGTTGCATGGTAACGTGATGAACAGGGTGCTGATACAAAAATAGTTATGAGTTAGCCGGAATAACGGTTAACAGTTATGAACTAATATTATACAGTGAGTTTAAATTATGTACATACCAAAAACAGTAGAACAACAGAGTTGCAGATTCAGACATTCTACAAGATGCAGGGAGCGGTTACAAAGGAGGTGTGTTACCTTACACATCTGGAGCACAAGTGGTGACAATGTGACAACATATGATGCAGCCAGATGTCATTGTTAATTTTATCTATTTTAACTTTTAATAGATGAAGGCCCATGCACAAATATCAATTGGAATCTAGGCAAATTATTCTTTAAATGTAATCAATAGGATGACTAACATGCCAAATTAAAATATAACAACAAAAACAAATACACTGAGTTCAGCGTTACATGCGTTTTTTTATCGCTAGCACTTTCAATGAACTTATTGTCGTCATCCTCAGGCGAATACAGAAATTTACCAAAAGTTTTAAACAAAAATAATCGAATGCAGAATAGAACGCATAAGATAATTTGAAATTATGTTAAAGCTGTTAAGAAAACGAAATAAATATTTAAACATAATTCGAAAACCGAACGAGCAGACAGCTATGTGAAGTGCGAGCTTGCGCATGTGCAGAGCCAAGCTCACACTACATGCATACTAGAGACTGCTAATGCTCGCTTAAACGCTTATACAGCATGACCCATACACTAGGCAACTCAAGCGTAGGGTTGTTGCAAGTGTCCAAGGTGGTAGTGAGGAGAGATTCCCATATAAAAACAGTTTTTTGATCCTTGCAGCTCTTGAGCATAACCGCTTGGGACCATAGCGGGTTGTAACCCTGCTCAAGTACCTTCCTTGCGAGCTCGGTGGTGTTTCTTACCCTCCTAACATCGTCTTGGTGCTCATCAAGGCAGCTGGAAAGCATTCTAGTGGTGGCCCCGATATATCTTGTGTTTACTCCCGTTGCCTGATTTTCCAAAGGTTCAGCATAGACCCCCGATTTCTCAAGTGTGGAAAATTTATCTCTATCATTACAAATAAGTTTGTGTAGGCTTGGAAGTGGGGTTAAAGGTAGTACAAGGTTGTGCTGCTTAAAGATTCTTCAGATGCGTAAAGATAGGTGTCCAAGGTAAGGCAACGCTATTTGTACCTTTGAAGACTCTCTTGCTGCATAAAGTAGTACTTGGAAACAGTGCTTTCTTTACCTTATTGAGCACATGTGTGAACTTTGCACGTGAAAAGCCAGCAGCGCGTACTGCCAAATTGACGATATCTAACTCGACGTTTATCAGCTCCTGCGTAGACGACAGTAAATAAGCCCTTCTGACAGGGGAGGCAATGGCAGCATTAACATATCGAGAAGGCTGAAAGGCCTCTGCTGGTATAATGTGTGGAGCTATACTAGATTTGTGATGGACCGAGAATTGTAGTCCTTCCGAAAATTTACGTATACGCAAGTCTAAGAACGCTACTTCCACATCGCTTTCTTTCTCCCAAGTGAAATTGATGGAAGGATATATACTTGCGAGTTGTTGCATAAAGATGAAGAACGACTCCTCTGTGTCTTCCCACGCTATGAGGATGTCGTCAACATAATGCAAATACAGCCTCGGGTAATGGATGGCAAGCAGGGATTTGAACGTTCTGTGCTCAATCTCTCTCATAACAAGTTCCGCTAGGATAGCGGATAAGGGGGAACCCATAGGGACCCCTTGCTTTTGTAGGTAGATCTTTTGGTTGAAACGGAAGTAATTGTGCTCGGTGACGAAGGTGAGGGCATCACATATATTGAGCACCTGTTGGATGTTAAAGCCCTCTTTTAGAAGCAGCAAATTAGCCAGCATTACAGCCTCAAAGGTGGGCACTGAAGGATATAAAGATATTACATCTAGCTTGTAGAAGGTATAGGTGTCTGGCCGTAGTGCCCCAATACTTGAAGCGATGGTGGATTTAGCAACTACAGAAGAAAAAGTAACATATGGGGATCCCGGAACTATTGCGCGAAGGAATTTGGCAAGCGCTTTTTCTAAATAGTAGGTGGGATGAGATCGTTTGTTTACCAGTGGACGTAACGGCCAGTTTGTCTTATGAGTTTTTGGCTGAAAGAACAACCTTGGACACGCAACATTGGAGGGGGGGTCGAGCAACCCCGTTAGGGTTGAGGAAACACCTGGTAAGGCGATGATTCTTCTTGCCTTCCTTAATACCATCGGCGTAGGGTCCTCACTCATCTCCGAGGAATGCGACTGCATTAGAAATTCGTTGGCCCTGGTTAAAAAGTTATTCTCTCTGCACAGCACAAACCTCCGGTCCTTGTCAGAGACTAGTAGTCTCAAGCTGGCTTTGGCAATGAAGTGTTCTACCACTCGACAGTCCACAAAACCATTGGGCTTTCCGGATCTTTGTTTTGCCGTAGCAAGCTTCGTAATTACGGACAGTTCCATTTGTGAACATGTAGGGTCCTTCTGGCAGAACTTGAGTGCTGCTAACATAGCCGGAATCAACTGGGAAAGGTTGGTGTTGGTAGTCGGGATGTGCTTAGGTCCCCGTTGTAGAATTTTATGCACTGTGTAGAGAACGTTTTCATCCGTATATTTATAATATGGGATATTCACCTCCACTTTTCTTTGATTGTGCGACGAACGTGCTAACCATTGGAGCTTGTTGTTCAATTTATTTTCTAACTTCTGGGCAAAATAGGATGCTATACTTTGTATTTTGCCTAACTGCTCGTAGAGTAAAGCTGGATCACAAGCTTTGGTGAACTGCAGGTGTGTTGCATAGAGGCTGAGCTCCACCTCTGCAAGGTACTTTCGTTTGTTCCTAATCAGCTTTGCGAGAAGAAACTTTTCCACACTTGGAAGAAACTGTCGTAGACACGGTGGAAATGCCTTGTACTTAAACGAAATAGACTTCAGTACAATCTTTTGCGTTCTGCAGTTTAACAGAAAATGTAGCTGGGCAAAAACTTTTGTTTAAAACTTTTGGTAAATTTCTGTATTCGCCTGAGGACGACGACAATAAGTTCGTTGAAAGTGCTAGCGATAAAAAAATGCATGTAACGCTGAACTCAGTGTATTTGTTTTTGTTGTTATCTTTAAATGTAACATTGTCATTACAGAAATTGCTTTTAGCCCTAAGTACAATTAAATTTATCAAAATATTTGATATTTGTGCATGAGTTTTTTAATAATATAATATGATTAAATGAAATTGGCTTTGTACACCTTAATCCTGAAAAGTACCGTGGCAGTCAACGCATTAAGTCCAATCCCACTCAAGATATCCTCCCTCTATCTTCCCACTCCCTTGACTTTTAACCATCAAAATTTAATAACATCAGTCCTCCTAATACATAAACCATCCTGCAAAATTTAAGAAATTTTTAACAAAAGGCACTGGAGTTAAGCTTCAGATTAAGTGAACAAAATTGTGCCCCACACACTCTAACATCCATAAATATAGGAAAAAACCCTAATTTTTTGCGTTTCAGTTCGTTCAGGAAAACACCTTACAATGCAGTAGCACTTCCGGCAATCACAAACTATCGTTAATGAGACAAATCTACTTCTCGTTGGCCAGGCGATACATTTTTATTAGCCAGATGATATCTACTTCTTGTCAGTCAGACAATATCTATCTCTCCTTAGCCATCTTGAATTTTCCACTCAAACTGACCTTATATATGCGCTATGGCAACCAGTGGTTGACCAATCAGTATCTCCGCTCGTCTGTAGCTCTATGTTGGGTTAACATATCCTTTCAACTATGGAAAGTTTGACGGATGAACTTTGTGAGTTAGACAATGATTGGGAGCGAAGTGCAAATGTAAAAAGGAGCCATCATCGCATCCATTCGACCATATTCCGAAAATCTCAATGGAAAAAAAAAAACAGACATAAACAATTAAAGATGGATACTTTTTTGAAAAATGTAAGAGATCCGCAACTAAAATTTTTAATAAAAACATTTAACTTTATTTTATGATAAAATACATTTTANTTAAATTAAAGATAACTTGAAATTAATCAATAATAAACTAATATATATTACATAATTACCTTCACTTATTATATTAACTGATAAGTAACAATTCATTTGATTGTTAACTGGTGGATTGAATAAATTTTCAAATTAATAGAAAATGTTATTGCATTCCTGTTTATTTCATAATATTGATACTATACTGAAATTCTTTAATACCGCATATCTGTGCAGATAAGACGAGGTATAAATTTTCATCAAAGTTTTATAGTTTTAGCATATATCTGACCTATAAGACGACCCACAAACTATCAATGGCCTATGAATTTAGTTTAGATCAGAGATCATCATCTGGATAATAACACTGTATAGCGTATACAGAATTATGTCCAATTTGTAATTTTTCAAATCAACAAATTTTATTTTCTTGCATCTGGCAAGAAAATAAAATTTGCCTTGCTATTGTTGCAAATAAACAGGCATTTGGGTGACCTTGACTATTCACAAAAACATTATATGGGCTATTCTATTTTGTGGATATACCCTACTCTCTACAAGTAAATAATTATAGTTTGTCCGCTTTTTATAACGGTTTTAATTTATATAAATTTCATCTAATTTTTTTGTATCTGTCCTATAAGACAACCCCGGATTTTGGGGTTTTTTTTTATGATTCAACTATCATCTTATCTGTGCAGATATACGGTACACTTATTCAAGTATCTTGAAGACAAATTTCAAGGAAAATAAAAATGTGTGTGAATATATAAATATGTATTACAATCATTTTTTTTTTTTTTCGTATCTGTCCTATAAGACGACCCCAGATTTTGGGGGTCTTTTTTTTATGATTCAACTATCATCTTATCTGTGCAGATATATGGTACACTTATTCAAGTATCTTGAAGACAAATTTCAAGGAAAATAAAAATGTGTGTGAATATATAAATATGTATTACCGTATTTTGACGAGTATAAGCTGCACTTTTTTTACTACTTTTTGGGGCTCAAAATCATGGTGCGTCTTATACTCGACAGGTAACCATTTTTACAGTGAAAGTACTTACAGTAGTGGGCCACTCTAGGGACCAACCTGTGCAGTGGTCAGTTAAGCAGATGGTCCCTCAACCGAATGGCTAGAGTATCTAGATTATCAGAGTAGCGACATACGGGTCATCGCCGCCATGTTCTGTCGACTGTCATCATGTGACCTCTGAGTTTACATTAAGAAATGACGATCATTTCAGTTTAATAAAAGTATCGATTCATCCATCCGTCATATTCTTGAATAAAAAAACGAATAAAATGTATCTTTAGACAATCTCATTAAAACAGTGTTTTTCTAAATTTTTTGTCTCAAAATAGGGGTGCGTCTTATACTTGACAGCGACTTATACTAGTCAAAATACGGTAATTGTGAATGCCAATTTTATTTATATGTGGATCATTATAACTGGCTTCTATCAGATATTTGAATTAACAATTAAATTTAAATTTAAATGAGAAAACTTATATTTTCTTTTTTTCTCTTTAAGAAAATCAAGAACAGAACCTGTTGAAGAGGTAAACCAATCTGACATAGATACTCATAATAAACATGCTTTGGAATCAAAAATAGCAAATGACTCTAATCCTGATTTGCCAAATAGTCAAGATTTGACAATGTTACATAGTAACAATGATGATAATTTGATTCAGTCTAAGACATCAAAGACTGACATTGATAAGAAAAGAGGCCAAATTTCAATAAGAATTAATCAATTATTAAAATCTGGCAAAAGAAGCAGTCCTTTGATCCAAAGTGACATTCCATTGTCCACAAATTTGAACAAAAATGATGTGTTAGAAACAGAAACCATCAGTTGTTCTCCTTCATCTAAAACTAATTCTCCAAATACTGGTCAAAGACAAATTTTGAGTAGATTGAGTAAATCGGCTTCTCCAGTTAAACGGAAGAGCCGAAGCAGATCACATAGTTCGTCGTCCAGAAGTTACTATCGTCGAAGTAATAGTAGAAGTCATAGCAGAACCAAAAGCAGAAGCTGTTCCAGACATAGTTCCAGGTAAATTTTTTATAATTATGAAATTCATTGTTAGACAATAAATTTTTAGTCTCATGTTATTCTTCAGAAGAATTGAAAGATGGCTAGAAGTAGAATGTTGTTTCTGCTTTTGATATCTTTCATACTGTATTTTCACAGATTGTTTGGCATATTGGTCTCTCTTGGGAGACCATTAAATTATATACAATAATACATCAACTTACGCGAACCCGGAGTTACGTGATTTTCAAATCTTGTCGATTCGTCTTTTGTTTGAGTGCCACGCAACTCTTGATTACTCACTCCCCCCACACTATTGTTCAGCTTACATGTTTGCACGTGTTGTGCGAAATTGACACATAGCTACAATTTATTTTGTGTTATTTATTTCTGTATTTGTTATATTTACAGAGACTTGAGAGACTCTATATGGCGATTTCTTGTAACTGTGAACAAATCAAAAGACAAGATAAGATTAACGAGAACATTTCATTTATTAGCTTACATACATCCGACTTGGATTTTACACAACTTGCAAAATTATACCCCGACTTACGCAAATTAGACTTACGCAGTTATCGCTCAGTCCCACCTATCGCATAAGTTCAGGGTATTACTGTATTTCCATATGGCATGCCATTTTATCCTGGGGATACTAGTTTAAGTGAGGTTATTTATACATCCCTCTCTAGAGGGTGCATTTAAAAAAAAAATATGAGTTAAGTTGTAAAAACAAATTGAGTTTTTATTTTAAAACTGTGAAACTGTCAGCATTACATCAAAACCTATGATTGTGTTTTTAATACATAAAAATATAAATACGACTTTTTAACAAGGTTAAAACTTTGTGTCTGTCCTCCTTTTCTTAAAATGTATTATTGTGAATGTGGCAATAACACCAGAGGACGCTTTACCTATTTTTTAATTTTGTTGCGGAGGTAGTAGCCTCAAAAGGAAGGTCGTCTCCGTAATTTTGTGAACTTTTTAAAGGATTGCTGATGGTGAAAACGGCAAAAAGGAGGACAGACACAAAGTTTTAACCTTGTTAAAAAGTCGTATTTATATTTTTATGTATTGAATGTAAATAACGCCAGCCATGAATTTTATTATTTTTACTTACTATGATTGTGTGTTTAATTTCTTCATTTTATCTTCTTTTAACAATGTAAAATAATCATGGAATGCCAAAAGTGCTTTTTTTTATATTTACTTTATTGTAATTTAATTCAAAAAAAACATATTAAATTTAAGAAACTTGCTCAACTTATATAAAGCCATGTTAATTGGTATGAGAGGAGGATGTTATTTTTAAGGTCAGTAGATTGTCAATGTAGCACGCACTGACTGACTTGCTGCTGCTGTCAGTGTCATTAATTGTTTTATTGTCTTAAAATCAGGAAGATGTTACATTTACAAGTCACTCAAATTACAATGTTGTTATTTTCTTGTATTCTGAAGAATATTTTCTTTAACATTTATTTAACAACTAGTTTAGTTAGATTAGTCCACGAGAACCTTATTATATCCCAGTAACGACAAATTTGAATTAAAACTAACATTTTCGACCATAATCATGGTCTTCAGGTTTTTTGACCCATACAATTCAAATATGGAACACATTGAACAATGTGTTTAAATTATTTTAAAATTCCGAACATTTAAAAGTTAGAAGATAATTTTTAGTCTTATGTGTTACAATAGTGATAAAAATATCTTTACTCCACAACAAATAAATAATAAGATGTACTTAATAGTGTAGAATAGGTATCTAATGTTGCTCTTGTTTTTTCTCATAGCACCATCTCCATGCATAAGAAACATTAGTGGCATCCTTTGTGTTAATACAGTTGCCAGCCAGTCCAGCTTTGTATATTTCTAAAGCTTCCAGGTTGTAAAGGTACTCAACCTGACATAACATTTTCACTAATTTGGCCTTATAGAAGTTGCACAATAGTCCATATACTGTGCTATATCTCTTATAGCCAATCTTTGTGCCTTTTATGGATAGCAATCTCTTTATAGATGGAGCTTAGGTGCTGGTTCTATTGCACCACCGTGTGTGATTGGTTGATGCTGTGATTATGGGTTTCATTGGGCTTTACTGGTGTGTTGTGAGTATTGTGCGCCATTAGAAGGTTGGCATACATGCACGATAAGTTATGTATCATGTCTACCGTACCCATGCCTTATTGCTGTTTTGAATGCACTTCAACTCTGCCACCATCTCCTCCTATCTAGTGTAGTGCATGCATGCCCTTCTAGTTAGCTCACAGAATACAGCAATCTTGTAAGAAAAAAGATCAGCAAAGTTGATGGAATAAACGTTGGTACGTAAGAAGGTTTGTAATATACGCTGGTCTGCACCCTGCCTGCATCCAGGCGAATGTTGACATGAAGGAAATGCGTGTTTGTATCATCCTTCTGATCAAGCATGATGGTAAGACCATATGGGTTGTTCTTCGTGGAACTTATGAAATCATTTATGTTGGGATCAGCCTTTCAAAGAATGAAGAAGAGATTGCTATTCATAAAGGCACAAAGATTGCTATAAGAGATCTAGCACAGTATATAGACTATTGTGCAACAGCAAGGACAGGACCAGGAAAGTCGAGCACCTTGTGTATATATGGTTCCCCTCAGAGGCCACAGATTCCAATGTGATCTAGATACATTGAATCCACGAAGCGCTCACTAAACAAAAGAATACAGGAGCATGGATATGATATCGCCAATCAAAGGCATACCACCATCCTAGTTGCTTACACCACAGACCCCGAAATACAAGCCAACCTCCATAAAGCCAAATTAGTGAAAATGTCACGTCAGATTGAGCACTTTTGTAACCTGGAAGCTTTAGAAATATACAAAGCCAGACTGGCCAGCAACAGTATTAACGCAAGAATGCCACTAATGTTTCTTATGCATGGAGGTGGTGCTATGAGAAAAAACGAGCAGTGGTGTAGCGAACATAACTGGCACACGGGTCACGACACGTTATTGAGGCCCCCCTCCAGAAACAAATTTTGTTTGTCTTGGAGACCGTTTGGCGCCCCTCTGCGAGTGGCGCCCGGGGCATGATAGACCCCCTTGCTCCCCCCTCGCTATGCTAGTGAAAACGAGAGCAACATTAGATACCTATTCTACACCATTAAGTACATCTTATTATTTATTTGTTGTGGTGTAATGATATTTTTATCACTATTGTAGCACATAGAAGATAAATTTTAGCTGTTACTTTTAAGTGTTCAGAATTTTAAAATAATTTAAACACATTGTTTGATGCATTCCATATTCGAATTGTATGGGTCAAAAAACCTGAAGAAGACCATGATTATGGTTGAAAATGTTAGTTTTAATTCAAATTTATCATTACTGGGATATAATAAGGTTCTAGTGGGTTGATTATCCTTCCCAGTGATTTTGAGAGAAGTTGTTTTAGTTTTGTTAGATCTGATTACAGTAGAGCATCGATTATCCAACCCCCGATTAACCATCACATCGGTTAACCGACTGTTCTAGTCGGCAAATTTCAAATGTCCACTAGTGATGTGGCGCTACAATATTTGGGTATGTCTTGGCTACTTTAATATTATTTTTGTTAAATTTTTGCATGTTTTAGCTGGCAACACTGGCTCAACCATGAAAGGGAGGCCAGTATTTAAACGAGACTTAATTTTCTAATTACGAGTGGTTGTTTGTTTTGTGAGCAATAAAATAATTTAAAAATAATTTTTAACAATACAATAGTGTGAGATCTGAATAGTCCCTGAGTCTAATTAACAATTTAAATATAAAATTAAATTTATGAAGTAAAATATTATTTCGTTTTGGTGTGAAAATATCGTTTTTCTAACGTGGGAAAACTAACAAAAGAGCCACTTCCTTTAACAGAAGTTGAAGCATCCTTTGTTTTTCCACTTATCTAACACAAATCTCACCACCATGGGAATTGTCGACCCCTCAATAATTCCCCTTTCATCCATTCACGTGAGTGAATACAAATAAGCTGATTGGTCACAAATCATGAGATATAGTCAAAGATCGGCATGATTCGGGGAGTACGTCAGGGAATCTCGTATTGGAAAGAAGTTCCCATATTGTCTCCATAAGGCCAACGCCCATAGTCGTATCCCATCGAGTATAAAAATGAGTTAAGTTAGGAAGAAAAGAGAAACTTTTAATATTGTGCCCAATCAAGATCTCTCCGTGAAATGAAGTATAATCACAAAATACAGAAGATGATCAAGATAAAGTAAACTTTGAGGTAGTGTGATTATAAATGAATTTGTGATCTCTCTCTCTCTCGAAGCGTATATTTAATTAATCCATTGTCTCTCATTCGCTTAATTTTATTTTGAATAATTTCATTTGTGTAATTTTATTTACTTATATTTTATTAAATCTTTTATTATATGTTAAAGGATGTCTCCTATTCAATATCTGAGTCAAATCCATATTATCTCCAAACACGTGTTAATCCACGTATCTAAATATGATTAACTGGTGTCGGGAACCTGACCTAGGAACGAAGAATTGTGAAATCCTTCAGTTCCGCTCTAGATATATCTAACTGTAAGTCCCTCCGCCCTCGAATTTCCTCAACTTAGGAAAAGCCATTCTTTTGGACGACCGAGAACTAGTTTCACCAACTAGCCGCTGAATAAGTGGTACCAACAATCCTAGTGGAAAGGTACCCCCAGCTAGAATCTCACAATAGTGACGATTATTATTTTAAAAAAAAATTTTGTTAGGCTTAACATCAATGAAAATTTAACGCAAAGTAGGTTAACGATATACTAATTACATGGGATATACTAATATACTATACTAATAATGTATTTTTTTCATTCTTTTCGGTTATCCGATTTTTTCAGTTATCCGACCAACCTGAGTCCCCAATTGAGTCGGATAATTGATGCTCTACTGTACTTTTACTTCTTAATCACAGTTTAACTGGTATACTAGTAACCCAGGGTCAATCCATGAAAATACAGTATAATGGTAAAATTTTGTATTTTTCT